GTGTTACAAGGTGTGAAATTGAGTAAGACACAAAGCCCGACCACGGCAGAAGATAGAAAGAGAATGAATGTCATTCCCTATGCTTTGGTCATAGGTTCTATAAAGTATGCCATGCTGGATACCAGATCTATTGTATGCCCTACCACTGAGTTTGGCAAGGGAGTACGATAGTGATCTAGGAGTAGATCACTGGACAGCGGTCAAAATTATTCTTAGTGGAATAAGGAAATATTTCTCAATTATGGAGGTGAAAAAAAGGTTCGTCGTAAAAAGTTACGCCGATGCAAGTTTTGACACAGATCTGGATGACTCTAAGTCTCGATCTAGATACATATTGAAAGTGGGAGCAATAAGCTAGAGTAGCTCCGTGCAGAGCATTGTTGACATAGAAATTCGCAAAATACTTACGGATCTGAATGTGGCAGACCCGTTGACTAAAATTATATCACAAGCAAAACATGATCACACCTTAATACTCTTTGGGTGTTAATCACATAGCGATGTGAACTAGATTACCGACTCTAGTAAACCCTTTTGGGTGTTGATCACATATCGATGTGAACTATGGGTGTTAATCACATGGTGATGTGAACTATTGGTGTTAAATCACATGGCGATGTGAACTAGATTATTGACTCTAGTGCAAGTGGGAGACTGAAGGAAATATGCCCTAGAGACAATAATAAAGTTATTATTTATTTCCTTATATCATGATAAACGTTTATTATTCATGCTAGAATTGTATTAACCGGAAACATAATACTTGTGTGAATACATAGACAAACAAAGTGTCACTAGTATGCCTCTACTTGACTAGCTCGTTAATCGAAGATGGTTATGTTTCCTAACCATAAACAAAAGAGTTGTTATTTGATTAACGGGATCCCATCATTAGGAGAATGATGTGATTGACATGACCCATTCCGTTAGCTTAGCACCCGATCGTTTAGTATGTTGCTATTGCTTTCTTCATGACTTATACATGTTCCTATGACTATGAGATTATGCAACTCCCGTTTGCCGGAGGAACACTTTGTGTGCTACCAAACGTCACAACGTAACTGGGTGATTATAAAGGAGCTCTACAGGTGTCTCCAAAGGTACATGTTGGGTTGGCGTATTTCGAGATTAGGTTTTGTCACTCCGATTGTCGGAGAGGTATCTCTGGGCCCTCTCGGTAATGCACATCACTTAAGCCTTGCAAGCATTGCAACTAAATGAGTTAGTTGCGGGATGATGTATTACAGTACGAGTAAAGAGACTTGCCGGCAACGAGATTGAACTAGGTATTGGAATACCGACGATCGAATCTCGGGCAAGTAACATACCGATGACAAAGGGAACGACGTATGTTGTTATGCGGTCAGACCGATAAAGATCTTCGTAGAATATGTAGGAGCCAATATGGGCATCCAGGTCCCGCTATTGGTTATTGACTGGAGACATGTCTCGGTCATGTCTACATTGTTCTCGAACTCATAGGGTCCGCACGCTTAAGGTTACGATGACAGTTATATTATGAGTTTATGCGTTTTGATGAACCGATGGTTGTTCGGAGTCCCGGATGTGATCACGGACATGACGAGGAGTCTCGAAATGGTCGAGACATAAAGATTGATATATTGGAAGCCTATGTTTGGATACCGGAAGTGTTCCGGGTGAAATCGGGATTTTACCGGAGTACCGGGAGGTTACGGGAACCCCCCGGGAGCTAAATGGGCCATGATGGGCCTTAGTGGAAAAGAGAAGAGGCAGCCCTACATGGGCCGCGCGCCCCTCCCCTCCCTTGGTCCGAATTGGACAAGGAGAGGGGGCCGGCCCCTCTCTCTCTTTTCCCCCCTCCACAAATCCTATTCCAACTAGGATTGGGGGGGGGGGAATCCTACTCCCAGAGGGAGTAGGACTCTCCTGGCACGCCCTATGTGGCCGGCCAGCCTCCCCCCTTTGGTCCTTTATATACTGAGGCAGAGGCACCCTAGAACACACAAGTTGATCCACGTGATCTATTCCTTAGCCGTGTGCGGCGCCCCCGGCCACCATAGTCCTCGATTATACTGTAGTGGAGTTTAGGCGAAGCCCTGCTGCTGTAGTGCATCAAGATCGTCACCACGCCGTCGTGCTGACGGAACTCTTCCCCGACACTTTGCTGGATCGGAGTCCGGGGATCGTCATCGAGCTGAATGTGTGCTAGAACTCGGAGGTGTCGTAGTTTCGGTGCTTGATCGGTCGGATCGTGAAGACGTACGACTACATCAACCAAACGCTTCCGTTGTCGATCTACTAGGTATGTAGATCACACTCCCCCCTCGTTGCTATGCATCACATGATCTTGCGTGTGCGTAGGAATTTTTTTGAAATTACTACGTTCCCCAACAGAAAGCTGATACAAAGGAGCCTTCAGCTGCTTTCATAGATAGTCTTATTTGCGCTGAGATTCCTGATCCCTTGGTTGATCCTTTGGGTTATGCTCTTGTTGATGAGTATATGATACATGGTCCATGTGGATTTTATAACTCTAAATGTCCTTGTATGAAGAACAATTGCTGTTCTAAGCGTTTTCCTAAGGCCTTTTCGGATGAAACAATGGTTGATAATGCTGGTTTTCCTGTCTATCGAAGGCGAGACAATGGTTTGTATGTTTTAAGGCAACAAGATTCTCTTAAGATGGGTAATCAGTGGGTTGTTCCTTATAATATGAAATTGCTGAAGAAGTTTGATGCTCACATTAACGTAGAGTGGTGCAACAAGACTAACTTGTTGAAGTACTTGTTTAAGTATCTTACTAAGGGACCAGACGTCGTACAGATGCGTATTGACGTGGATGAGAGACCGTCGTGTGTTTTTACGGTGCCGTCTCCCACCGGAAAGAATGAGATAAATGACTACGTCAAGTGCAGGTTGGTTGTTATTGCCGTTGGTTATTTAATTTAATATATTTTCTTGTGCTTTGAATTATATGTTTATTTGACTTGTTAAGAACATATCAGATAGACTGTTTTTGCATCATTTCATTTTAAGTGGGCTAATTGAGAAGAGACAGGATCGTTGGTTCTTTGATGCTATGTACAGGATCAGCATATAGTATGGTGGTCTGTTGGCGTTGACAGTTCTGAAGGCATGTAGGAAATAATGTAAGCCTACGCGTCACATTCAACATCTAGCTGGAAAAAAGCTTCCGTTAAAAAATGTGAAAAGCAGAGTACAGATGTAAATGAGATGACATCATAGTAGCCACTAATTTCACCCAATGGAAAATTAGCTGAATAGGCCTTAAGAAAATTTTCTTCCGTGGCCGAAGAAAAATTAAGGAATAGGCTTGATCACCCGTAGGACCCTAAGGAAAAATGTTCAGGGTTTTACTGTAAAAAGATAACAAGAGGGATGTACATTCTGCTAACTCATAGCATAGCTCGCTTCCTCCTTCTTTAACCATTTACAGAGTTGTTCTATACAAACAGAGATTCTGAACATATAAAGTAAAATTCAACGGTTCTCCCTAAAAAAAGGGTGTCTTCCACCATCTAGGGGTGTCCTAACTCCTTCAGGCAACAACCCTAAACCCAGTTTGCCACTGCAAGAAATTTCTAAAAAAACAGAAAATAGAAACCTACCGGGATATAGAGAAGGTAGTCCATTTAGTGAAAAATGTGCCTCCCTGCTCTAAAGTGAAATGACAGTGAGATGCAGGTCATATCAACAGGAGATTTTACAGTGCGCCATTCTAGAATTTAAGAATGTTCTCCTAGCATATGATTAGTTGGTTTTTCAGAGACATACAAAATGTTTAGAGGCTTAAATAATTTCTCTTGACATTAGCACCACAAAGTCAACCTGTAGGCGTAGATGTTGGTCATAACAATTCTACTGTTTTACCAGCGTATACAGACCTCCTTCATGGTGTCTAAGCAACCAAATCCTTCAATCACTATGGCCATGTTAAAGATCTTATCTTCAATCACTATGGCTATTCCTTTTGATTTCTGCTTCTTTCTATCTTATCTTCGCATGCCAACATTTTTGGCATACAGAACTTTGTCATCTCAAAACTAAACACACTCCATATAGGCAGACAGTATCGACGAGCGTGGCGTGCCGCCGCGCAGGCTTTGCTAGTATAGATCAGTACTGCAAAGATTTGGAGCTAGTAGATTAGCTGGATCGGTTGTAATGACCCATTGGCCTGTCTCTACTACCTCTCTAAATAAACTTGGAAGAATGACTAACATAGGAAGTACTGTGTAGAAGACACGCTCCTATTTGATAAAAGCCAGCCCATTCAAATTAGTCAAAATTGGACTACGCTGCCATGTTCCATCTTTATCTAACAGTGCATTACAGTAAATCATTATCAGTATTTCTCATAATCGATGAATGTCTGTTTGTGAACTATTGGCCTATTTGTGAACTATTTCTCACAATCGATGAACCCATTGGCCTGTTTGTGAAATATTTCTCAAAATCGATGAACTTTTTTGAAGTTTGTGAACTTATGTCTGAATATCGATGAATGTCTTTAAATTTACGATTTTATGAAAGTAAAATAAAATAAATGAAAAATAAATAGCGTGGCCATACTAGTTCAAATACTGTTAGCGCAATGAAAAGCACAGGTGCCCAATCGGTGTGGTGGTTAGCTAAGATAGAATAAGCATTGCCTTCGGTGGTGATGCAGCTTCGATTCCTGAAGCAGCCACGTTTTTTCGTTTTTTTTTTTGTGATTTCTGTTCGCTGCCTTTCCCATTGCGGGCCGGCCCTTCAAAGCGCTGCAGCGGGCGCTAGCGAACGAAGCAGATGGGCCTCAGTGCCTTACGCCCCAGGCCAATTGGGCCATGCCACAAAGAAGATGGGCCGCACGCCCCATGTCTCCGCCCATGTATATAACCATCCCACCAACCCGGCCAGAAACCCTAAGCTGCTAGTTTGTTCGCCACAAAGAAAAAGAAACCCCAGGCGGCGGCGGCGGCGGAGACAGAGATCGACGGTGGGGGCAAGAGGCGCCGATGAGCAGCGGGTCGATCTCGTCGGACATGGAGATGCTGATGGAGGACGTCATCTCCCTGCGGAGAGAGCGGAAAGACCTTATGGAGTCTCTTACTCCCAAGATCTCTGGCTGGATGGATCGGATGTCTGGAGAACCAATGTGGTCCTCCAGTTTCCAGTCCTACTCAGAGCAGCAGCAGCAGCAGCAGGTATACTTGACAGACGACTTCGATCTTCTGGAGGACGTCGAGGATTTGGGCCGGCGGATGCTATCTTTGGCACATTCTGTTTGGACTTCCAATGCCCCCATCTCCTTGTACAAGGCGGACGAGCTGGTTAGCACAGCATCCAAATTAGAGAGGATCTCGCTGGATTTCTACAATTCTACCAAGGCGGCAATGGAGGAGGCAGCCGAGGAGGAGAGGAAGACGAAGCAGACTCAGGAGAAGAAGAATGATGAGCTGGGCAAGCCTTTTCTGTCCAACGAATTCGAGGACATCTCCTACAGTGTCCTGGATACACCCAGCGTTTTCGACAATGAGTTGGCGATGATGTTTACGGTGGAGGATGAGGAGGAGTATGAGAGGGTGAGGGAGGCCGAGAGAGAGATTGAGAGGCAGAGGTTAATGAGCAAGAAGCAGAGGAAGCAGAGGGAGAAGAACAAGCAGCAGATTGTGGTGAAGGAGGAGCGCGTTGCTGATGAGCAGCAAACAAAATCTCAAACGGAGCAACTCAAAGAGTGGATGGATGATGAGCTGGAATTTTTCGCAGGCCACCGTAGCATCTGGGAACGCTCTAGTGGCAGCATGTCCGGACGGTGCGGCGGCTTCGAAGATAAAAGTAAGTAAAATATCCATGCTCAACTTTATTCGTTTAGTCTATTATTATTATCTTGGTGACCTCTTACTACTATGATTTTTTATACTACCACTGAGACAAAAAAAATTACTTACTATTTCGCTGGCACTCGCTGTCCTATTATTCACCAGTACCTCCTATTATTCACCAGTACCTGTGTGTGTCATAAGGTGCGGATGGACAAACGGGATGCAAATGAGTCTGAAGATCTGACCGTACTATAATGAATATATGGCTTGGCCTACTAAATTCCAGTAAGCGGCAAGTTAACTATGAGACTTGCTACATCATAAAACTGAATCTGCAATAAGTCGTTTATTTATAGTATTGGTCTGATTAAAAAGTGTGAAGTAAGACCCATTGAGTATGGACAATTGGGCACAGTTAAATTAGGAAATAATCTACAACTCAAGGATACTCACATTGTCATATTTATAGTCTAGGAAAGTGTTAAAATTGAATTAGAGCTTTAATGTGGTATAAGGACTGAGGAATATCTGGGTAAATGCAAGTATTCACACTTACACGGTTCAACAAAACAGGGGGGAAGTGGTATCTGCTTGAGATCTCTTTTGTACTACTAACTCTTGAAGCATTTCAAAATGAAAGTGAACTGATGGTCTTTGTTTAATTTGTGTTGCAGCGACATTAAGTCCTCTCCAATTTACGCACTGCACACCCGGTATCCTTCTGCCCCGTGCCGCTGTCACTGAAAGAACGTTGCAAATCTACTCATTCAAACTTGTTGGACTAACGGAGCAGCTGAAGTGGCCACTCTCTGTTTATGGCGTGGTTGCTGCCCGAGACACCGTAGACCGCAACCGCAACCTTCTCTTCTCTCGGTCGAGGATCAGGGGTCAATTACTCTCTGGACATGTATGTACTGTTGTATATTCACTTTCTCTTCATTGTCCTCTTCTTCTTTTAAGTAATACATACTTCTTTGTCCTCTGTTTCTTTTAAGTAATATATATATACTTCTTTGTCCTCTGGTTCTTTTAAGTAATATTTTTCTTCCTCTTCAGCCAAACACTATAATGATGATTTAATCTAATGATTGCAGGACTCTTATCTGCGCTTGACTGGCCCGTCTCGAGCAATTCTGGTTGGGGATTATGTTGACTTTGAAGTTGAACTAAAAGTACGTGATGGAGATGATGAGCACAATGATACACAGTTGATGTGTGTTAGCGAGCGGTATAAAGAAGCAGACGGCGACGGTGAGCAACCTTTACTCTTCGATAGCCCATTCTGTACTGCAGAGTTGAGGTTTGAGAGCGTTCCTATGACTGTCCAGCTCACTGTATTGTCCGTTCGTGTTGTTGGAGGGGAGTTCCCTTTTAGCTCTGGGGGTCAGGTTGCTTGTATTGTTTCTGGCCGTGAGAGGGTTGTGCTGTTTGATTCTACTGAAAAAATTACTAGAGAAGACCAAGTAGTTTTGGATGGTTATGTTCCTTTGTCAAGAAACGCCATTTCAGTAGAGTTTGAAAAAGGAGTGACTGTTGAGGTAACAGCCTATGTTGATTCTGGTTCTATCTCTGATCTTGTCCACTTCCCTTCCAAGTGGTGCAACATTAGTCAGGATAGCTGTTTCATCTGTGGTTCTGAGGTGAAGATTACCGTTGCATGGTCCCGGGTTGTGAGAGACAAGATGGAGATGTTGCTGGAGGGATATGCTACCCAGGTGTAGTGTGCTATCTGTAATCAGGAGTGGTAATTGTATGTCGGCAAGTAGCATGTATCAACTATATATATTATTTTGTATGTTGCCAAGTGGCATGTCGACTCTATATTTTGTATGTCGGCAAGTAGTATGTATGAAGTCTATATTATATTATTTGACTCTTATGTGTTAATGAGCAGTCGTTTTGTGTGAAATATTCAGGAACTAGCCTTGAAAGCCAAGTTTGCTTGTACTGGCATTGTGTTTACTTGTGCTGTGTGCCATTGCAAATATTCTGCTCAGCTGCTTAATAGAAATATTATGTAAGATTGGGATGTCCTGCATTTAATCTCCACTCCAAAAAGGAGTTTATCACAAACGATAACATAAACAGAAGCATGTAGTGGTGGTCATTATTGTCATCACATATGGTTCATCCAGAGTAAACCAAGTCAAAGTTGGAGAGAAGGAAACATAGTCCAGGATGATCTTACTTTAAGATTGCCAGTAACATTGAAGGGCACCCTGTGGTTGAACAGATCACGTCGAAGATGGAGAAGTTGAGCACCCCTGAGCCGAGGATGATAATCAGCATAGAAAAGATGGGGTCGTGAGTGTAGAACAAGTTGATTACAACGCCTCCTTCGAGCAATATTGCTGGTAGAGCTAGTATCATGGTGGCAAAGGGTGACATATAGTACACTGTTAAATAATGCTGCAGAATAAGATAACACATAATGAATCATCTTACCAAGGCAAGGACTTACAAGACTGAAGGGCTCTATTGCTAAATCACAGCGGAACACGTTGAATCACTAGAGCCACGAATGTGCGGCACAGGACCAACTACCAAGTAGTATAAATATAGTAAATGCTATCTCTGGTGCTATTGTTCAATTTGGGAGTTGCATCTGTTGATGAGTGGTTATACAATGGTGGCCCTTATGAGCTAATTGTTATACACTTCTTACTTGGTGTAGCTTGTTATATGGTTCGTGAGTAGGAACTTAGTTTCTATCTGGGCATGCATCCCCGGATTGCTGTTGCATATTCAGCTCCCGTTGCTGTGGCTCCTACTGCTGTTTTCTTGATTTACCGTGTTGGTCAAGGAAGCTTCTCTGATGCTTTCAACTAAATGGGAGTGCCTAATCAACAGTCAGCTATTTTTCCTTTGAGCAACAGTCGACTTTTTGTCCAGTTACTGGCATGTGTACATGTGTGTAAAAAAATGCCTCCGTCCAGATTCTTGTCATCTTTTCCATTGGTTCTCTCACAGTGGAAAAACTCCCATGTTCCCCAGACCCAACAAAAGGCTCGACAAACTGATGGCCCGGGGCTAATGGTTTTGATCATTAAGACCCAATGAAAACCTTCCAGTGCTATTTTGAACAGGCCAACACAATCAGAAAATGACTGGACAGCCCGATAGGGAGAGAGAGAGAAGCGATGACAGAAACGGAAGATTATTATCAATCAAAGAGGTAAATCAAAGAGGTAGCTCCCAGCCAAAACACAGAAAGAGAATGAGGAAAATTATGTAGGGAACGGGTTTCAAAAGATAGCGTCTTAGACAAAGGAGCCTAGGAAAAAATAAGGAAGAGATTATGTTACTGATTGAAGACCACCACACATATTGGATTCCATGGCACGCTTCAAAGCATTTACACAGCACAAAATAAAAATGGGACCATGACTCAGGACTGCTTAAAGGTTAACATGACATTTTGAACACCCAGGAAAATGAGGGCATGGACATTCTTAGGTTGAGAACGACTAGTAACTTTGGTTGCTTCTTAGGCGGAGTATGACTAGACAAGTTCTGCTAGTCAGTCGAAGTCCAACTCCTTCTCCCTTTGCTGACTAAAGTTTGACACGCTGCAGAAGGATAAGTTCTTTTTTCCACCATAATAACAAATACTACTGGCACTTTATGCATGTTCACAATCATCTTACTAGGGGCACATGCTTTTAGCTCTGGCTTAAGTTGCTTATATAATGTAAGGTAGGTTTCTGCTGCAGGCTAGAATAAATTGCCCCTCTGTAACTCTTCCAATACATCAATTGAAACGTCATGACAATCCAACAAACCCGACGTCGCAATCATAATACCATATCATGCAAACCATCCTAACGTGCACTGAAACATGCTGTTGCCAACTTGCCATTGCAACCAAACCGCCATCGTGATCAAGCACCATTTGTTTTAAGGCGCAATTTGTTTTAAGGGAACAAAGCCTAGAGGATATATATGAAATTCAATTATTTGAGGAAGCACCGTTCAAGTTCAGCCACGGCAATAATACCCATCCAGCCAAAATTATGGCACCAGTTGCCAGGTCGTAAGCATTGTATGTCATGTAGCAAGGACAGATACCTTTACTTTCTCTGGCTGGACAATTGCTCCATGCCCTTGAGGGCACACATAGAAGCGGACGCCTTTCACCCTGCAGCATCCGAGAAATCAAAGAAAAATGTTTCAAGGAGCTATTGCTTCAAAGATCAACTATTCATCACTTTCATAGTTTGAGAATGAACATACATGCCATCGTGCTTTCCGAGTGGCTCATCGTATTGCACTCCAACCCAAAATCCATGTCCAAGGGGTTCAGCTTGGCCAACAAATTTTACAGTGCCCCTCTTGTCACCTGGCTCAACTTCACATCCATCTCCCACGTATTGCAATTTTTAAAACATAATAAAAAAGATATAACTTTCATTTCATGCTACAGAAGAAGAAAGCTTTCACCTGTATTTCAGATTGTCCATTTCAACAGCAAAGAGCCAATATTTACTACATACCTCTGAAAGCAGAGTACCCTGACAATAAGTTAATTATCTTGGTAGAATTTCCTACTGATTGTCAACTTAGTGAACTATACACATCTTGATAGTCATATTTTACGATAAGAATTGCTACTGTTTTATCAAAATGCTAGTCAAACCAGCAAGCTATTAGAAGGAAATATACACTGCAATACTCCGAATAGCTGCTCCAGCCAATGGTAGCAGTTTGTCAAGCTCATTTAGTCACGGGTTCATACATATTACTCAGGGTTATTTTTATAGGAGGAAATTACTGTAACCAATATGCTGGCAAAATGTACAAATTTGAAGATGCTACTACCAGCTACAGTATAGTTAGCAATGTTCCATTCATAATGCACATGTGTAAAGCAAACTAATTGACCTTGATGTTGGCACAATTCCTCCATTTGATTATCTGACTGGTAAAAGAGACAAGAAATTGAGTAATCAGGCTGATGAAGGGAAAAAAAGTAGTCCAAAACGTGAGCAACTTGATTATCATCCAATATAGGTTTTTTTTACACCATCTTTTCTTTGAATTTCCAGAAGTTTGCTGTACAATTGCACAAAGTTTAGATGCTAAGATCGAGTCTACCGCAAATGATTAACAAAAATTCTTAAAGCATATCTCCATATCCATAAATTTGTTGAATGTGAACAACAAAATATAGCAAGTAAATGCAATAGAAAAATGTACGTCACGACATAACTAACGATGTTTTTAATGTGGATATTTTTTCTAGTTTACGAAGTTTGATTTTTGGATAAAAAAGGAAAGCACCTGCATTTTTTTCAGAACAAAAAAAATCATCTTTTTTTTTCTTTTCGAGGCAAAAAAAATAAAAAAAATAAGGGGCACGGATGTCAATGGACGTGCCGGCAAGCGGAGAACTGGGCCTTACTCTTACTTGTGGAGAAGAGACGAAGAAGAAGAATAGGTTCTTCTTGGGCCAGTCCCTCCGAGGAGAGACCGGGCCGGACTGAGCTTGCTTGGGTGGGACAGCACCATATATATACAACCATCCCAGCCCGGCCACATCGTTGTTGAAACCCTAAGCTGCTAGGTTATTCGCCACAAAGAAAAAAGGAAACCCCAGGCGGCGGCGGCGGCGGCGGCGGCGGCGGAGACAGAGATCGACGGTGCGGGCAAGAGGCGCCGATGGGCGGCAGCGGAGATCAACGGTGGATGCAAGAGACGCCGACGGGCAGCGGGTCGAATCCAGACTCGGGAGAAGCTCTTCGTCGGTACCGTGGTTTCCTGAGGTGGGAGACCGATTTGCTGCGGAGTCAGGTCAGGTCCCGGGGCCTCGATACGATTGCTGGAAAGAAGGCTTATCTTGAGCGGCATTCTGATGGAAGACAACTAGGTTTTGCTTCACCTCGACTGCAAGAGCTGTTGCCCACCCCTAATGTCGGGAGTATGCCTCTGGTGTCTTGGCCTTACCTTGTTCCTCATCATGAGGAGGCCGTGGAGCTACTCTTGCACGAGGCACACAGACTGACCTACCGCATCCAATCTCTGACGGAACTCGGTGTGCCAATCCCATTGGAGAAGCTCGAATTACTGTATCGCTTGTCCAAAATGTGTGCGAGCCTCTCCAGAAGCATAAGGACGCATGCATCGCCAACTTCAACCGAGTCTTCTCAGGATGCTGCAATTTCTCCTTACAAGGAGCGACGTATGAGCTGGGTGTCGACTTGGGGGAGTCCAGTATTAAGATGCGGCGGCTTCCATGACATAAGTAAGTTAGAGTTCGTCCGTGTTCTGGTTATCTCATCTAACTGATTTTTCTAGTCAGCTTTCCTTCCTTTTTCTTCCTTAAAATGCTTCATACGCATGCAGAATTGACTAGTGGCTGCAGAGAAAGGAAAATGTATTGAGTAAGCTCAGCAACTAGTGCAATGAGTGAACCATATAAGACAAAGACACATGCTTCAGACATTGCTGCTAGGCATCTATCCAGCACAACAGAACAAGAAAAATACTTCAGACTTGGATGATTTCAGCCATTAGAAAATACAAGCACAAGTTCTTCAGTTAGTTAGCAATAGGAATATCAGCTTTCCGTTAGTTAGCAATAGGAATAGCAATTTTCAGTTAGTAGAAATACAAACAGCAGCAATAAATGTTGTACATACTACATTAGAAAAGTTGTTGTTGTATACGCACTGAATAAAACAACATTGCAGAGAACCATATAAACTTCCATTCCACAAACATGACAAGAGATAATGTACAGATTTATGCAAATAAAAGAACCAAGAAATTGCAGACAAGCAGCAAATAATGTTGCCATCCTTCCACAGATCACATTTCTTCAGATTTTTTTAAGAGACAACGAGCCACTTGTCATTGAAATTCAGTACCACTTGTCATTCCAAAATTCCAGTTTTAACTCTGGGGAAATTCATTGTAGTAGTTCCCGGGCAATTAGTGCTCATGTCAGAAATTAGAGAAATCCACACCAAATTCCTAGAATTTAAAATGCAACATGTGGGTCAGAGTTACGGACAGATCAATTGATTCTCTAATCCGTTTACCGTAGAGAAAAGGGTATTGCTTGATCATATGTGCATCTCAGAGGACTAGCGAACCGTACCATTCAAACATGGAGAGTTGGAGACAATAAGTTGTCTAGTAGGAGTAGCTGCTGGAAGGTAGTAACTAAAGTCTGGACAGTGAAGTTGTGGAGGGCCCATTACGCAGTGCATTTGAAAGAAAATACACCAATGATATGGATGATGGGAAAAGCTATATACATACACAAATACACACTAGTTCACAGTTTCCCAAGTGGACGTTCGGCTTTGAAGTCGGTGAATGTGTAGCACCTGTGTGCTCCTATGTATTTCCTGCTTTTGCTTCCTTTTTCTTTCTTATTAATATGCATTTCTCAGTCAATGCAATCATTTCACTTGCTCATTTTCTTCTTGTATAGTAAGAGATTGTACTTCCCTTTGTTTAGTAGTTTCTACATTTATATAACACTACACACATTGATGTTGCAGCCACACTGTCTCCTATGTATTTTACCCCCTGCGCCCCTCGTATCATCCCATCGTCCGCCTTTGCCACCGAGGCCTTACAGATCTACTCGTTCGAAATCTTTGAGCTGGATGACAGCTTGAAGTGGCCACTCAATATCTACGGTGTGGTCGCTGCTCGAGATGCTGTGGATGGTAACCGCAACCTTCTCTTCTCTCGCTCCAGGGCTAACTGCCAATTACTCACTAAAGAGGTATGTATACAACATTTCCCCTTCCTCTTGCATGTGATCTTGTGCATAATACATACATTTATACTAGCAAAGATAGAAAATTAATATGTCGGTTGATATGGCTTTGCTGGTTCTTAAGCTCAGCAGCATTGGTTGATTAGTACAGCAGATAACAAATTCGCTCTATGAGTAACAATCTAGTGGTAATTAGTACAAGGAAATATTACATTACAAAATAGTTTCTACTTCTGATCAAAGTCAAGATGTATTCTGGATCAGTGCAAGCATCTTCAATACTGCACCTTCCAGGCACAATGCAGGCCCTTGTTGATATAGTTGCATGGTCAAAGTTGATTGCAATAGTTTAATGCATATCTCAACAGCATCAATATCATAGGCTTGGTTCTGACACTTGCTCCCCTGATGTAGTTCAAGCAAGAAAATTAATTCAGTAAACAGAAATGAAAACATATTAGGAAGTAGAGGGGCTCGGTGTCAAGCAATGGTTTCTTTTAACTATTTGGTCCAACAAGTACTATGCCAATGTGTCTGTCGATCTCCCATTCTCCTTCTAATAACCGTGGAAGATATAATCAATTGTAGTGTGGTGAGCAGCAAGAGGAACATTCAAACAATCAATGAGACCATTAATTCCTGGTTCATTCCCCGGGTTCTATGCTGCTAACCATTTGACTTTCCAGTGGACAACTGGACATGGCACCTGGTAAGTCTTGAGCGCAAGCTGTATGATGGTGATGATTACAATAATAAGGCTTGCTAGGTGATGATAATAGTTCTCTAATCTGATCTGGTCCTGTCCTCAAGCTAGTGTGGTTCACACTGTTGAGTGTTGAGAGTTGAGTGTTGAGAGTTGAGTGTGTCACTGCATTGGGTGGTGGGCATTGTAGGTCTGTACGCTGTACGTGTACAGCACGGCAGTTGCATTTGTTATTTGTGTACAAAAATTAAGTGTCAATGGTGGTTAAGCAATCATATTCGATTCAAGATCCAGTGGTTTTTCTTCTCTCTCTCTCTCTCTCTCCGTGTGTGTATCTCATGGTAAACCATTTCACATGGCATTAGTAATGATAATGATGATTGTTGTTTGCAGGATCCTTTTTTGCACTTGACTGGCCCTTCTCGTGCTATTCTGTCTGAGTATCCGGTTGATTTTGAAGTTGAACTAAGGATAAAAGATGGAAGCGAGTCTCAAGATAAAGCATTGATCAGTTCTACTAACCACCACCATTTTTGTGCTGATACTGCTCTTTTCCTTGGCTGCCTGTGTTCAGCAAAGTTAAACCTCCAGACTGTTGCTAGTGCTGTCCAGGCCACGATATTATCAGTTCGTGTCACTGGAGGGCTGTCTACTTTTGAATTTGGAGGGCAAATTGTGTGTTCATTGTCTACTGCAGGTCGCCAAGTTGTGTTGTTTGATTCTAGTGAAGAATTTTGTGAAGATCTGGAAGGTTACGTTCCATTGGCAAGGAATGTTGTTACGGTGGAATCAAAAGGTTCACTGAGGATCATCATAAAAAGTTACACAGAATCTCATCTTGTTGCTCACCAGGCTGAGTTTGAATTCGATGCCAAGCATTGTCAGATAAGCAGTCAGGAACGTGTTATTGGTGATTCTAAGCTGCAGGTTGTCATTGCTTGGTCCCTACTTGTGAGGGACAAGCTTGACAACATGGCAGCGGGGTATGCCTTCACTTATCCCTCTCTCTGTGGCTAGTTCGACAACTTGGTGGGGTGATCAAACTTAGAACTTTGTTGTCTTGTGTAATCTAACTTGAAGTTGACCTATGTTGTGTTGTGTGATTAAACGTGTCATCAAACTAAGTAGACCTATGTTTTCTTTTGTTCCATTCGTACAACTGTTGCCCTGCTGGGAAGGTACCTTCATTATGTAATATATACTGTGGTTGAGTCGAACTGGCTGGGAAGGTACCTTCATTATGTAATATATACTGTGGTTGAGTCGAACTGGCTGGGAAGGTGCCTTTTATTATGTAATACTCCCTCTGTCTGGTTGTCCATTTCTCCGACAAGTATTTTCAAGTGGAGGGAGTATATAATTGTGGTTGAGTCAAATTGACGAATGTAGTTTGTTTTGGACAAAGCCGTGACCTTTGCCAAGCTAACAAATGTGGGTCGTCCCGCATGGGCAAACTGGAGCAAAACGTTTCTCGTAGTAGAAAAAAGCTATACTCTTATTAATAACACTGGGGTAGCATCATAGTAGAAAAAAAAATATACCCTTGATTAATCACACTGGGGTGGCCCTTGAGTGCAGCATCCACAGTACGACCTGACCTGACAATGCTAGAAACAGAGTGGAAGAAAATCTGAGAAGATGGAAATACTATCCCAGCAACAGTAGAAGGTGTAAGGAGAAGAATGAAATTTGATTCTGAAGAAGATGTGGAACATAGCCAGAAGCAAGGCCCTGGGGACCTACCCATTGCAAGCTCCAAGCTCTGATGCTGTGCATGGAAATATACGGTGTATTTCCATGCTTCTGATGAGGGTAGTAATTTAGAGTGAAAGCGAGTTGAAAGTTGACATTAATTACCCCATAAATCACCCCATAAAGTCGGGGCCCCTGATTTCTGGGGTACGGCCCTGGGTAGGAGCAAAAGCTCTGATGGCTTCCCAAAGAGGAGGGATGCTCCGTTTGCCAACTTAATGGATAAGCTGCTAACTGAAGTTCGTAACTTGAGATGATTCGCCCCGCAGTCAAAGAATGCAACACGTTGAAGGTCAGTTTGAGCACGCAGCTTTAATCTGCACATGTTCAACACAAGAGTCAAAGAATGCAAGCACGTCAAGCTTCGAGTTGAGCTGACAGTTTTAGACAGCGTCTTCGTCCCCAGCATCGAGAGCTGACAGTTTCGATAAGCAAGAGAGGAACATCAGAGGGTAGGGGAGAAGAGAAGACGCATTTCTAATAATCTAAACGGACCACGGATGCGGTCAGGCTCATCAACTACACAAATTTCAAGATCAGCCACCACAGTTGTTCAAGGTGTTCAGGATAACTACACTAACATCACCATGTTCAACACAAGAGGCAACAAGAAGTTTCAATACAAGAGCAGGGTACAAGATCAGCCACCACAATTGTTCAAGGTGTTCAGGATACTACACTAACATCACCATGTTCAACACAAGAGGCAGGCAAAACTGGTGTTCAGCTCCTACACCAAACAACATGTTCAACAAGGGCTACATGATTCGATATAACTGAAGGTGTTCAGGTACAGAGCAGGACCACCACAGATAGTTTAAGATTGACCATCCTCTGTCTCTGCCGAGAAGTGGATACCAAGGGGACCCTCGTAGCCGCCCTTCATCGCAAGGATCCCAGGAACAACCACCTTGTCAAACTTAAGAAGGTAGAGGAACCGATGGATCAACTGATCCAACTTGCTTTCCCACGCACAGATGGAGCAAGAGTGGCAGTTACATAGGGCCCCATCTGATCAGGTTCGGCCAACAGCCGTTCAGTCTCTTGTTTTAGAGCAGGGAATGCATCTAACGCCTTTTTGCTCGCAAAGATGGCTTCAAATCTCCTTCCCAACACAGCACGGTTGTCCCTCACTTCCTCAATCAAAGCAGCAAGATCAGTCTCATCCTCACGCAGTTCTTGTTTGATTTTGTCAACCAGGCTCTCCTCCAACAGCAGTAATAACAAGCAGAATGTCGTGTAAGAGAGGCTTCTCCAGTTTTTGATTAAATCAAATAACCGCCCAACCGCAACGCACCCAGCCAGAGCTCTGTTCCAGAACAGAATAGAACAGCAAACACCTTCTTCCAAGGGACCAAACCGAGGGCATTCGCCAAGGAGTACGAAGATGGTCTCAAACATTAGACGACCTTCCTTGGATGGCTTCAACTTAGGTTTTCTATAAAGCACAGTCAAGAATTTCTCCACATCATCCAGCACACCATCATAGAACTTGACAGATTCCCTACACAGATATGGGTTTAAATCTGTTACAACTAATCACAATAAATAATTTATGGTGCCTACATATCAACACAAAAACAAGAAACAAGAAACACTTACAGATGCTTCGTGTACGTGTGCGAGTATCGTGTTTCATTGCACTTGTCCTTCAAAACCCCTTTATCATTTAAAGATGACGAGTCAGTGAATAAGCACCAAAGCGCACTTTTGAATTCAGCAAAACATGTAATGATCCTCCAGGCCACCACATAGTTATCCACATGTTTACATAGGAACTCCATGATAACTCTCTGACGCAAACTGTGCTTGAAACGATGGTGGGTCCGTATTCGCACTATATAGTAAGTGTCCTGATATGTAAACAATAGCGAATACAATACTCAGAACAAGAGAAAAGTAGCCACATTCAACACAAAACGAATGCAATTAAACAATAGGCACACTATTAAAAACACAAACCATAGCTTGCAACAGTAACGCCAAAGGATGCAAACAATTGAATCATATTAAGGATATTGCAGTCGAATCGTCTATGTAACAAGATAACTTACTTCTTTCTCTGTGGCAGGGGGAGGTAAGGGGTATCTTGTGCTGTGGGCTTTGTCAAACTTTTCAGATTCACTTTCAATGGTCACAGGTGATAGCTTCTCAAAATGATTACGCACTTGCTTAAAGAGATTGCGCAGCTCGAATGGGCTGGGTCTCGTGGACAAGAAGCTATGCTCGACAAAATCCTCAGGAGCCCAAGCTGGACGTGGCTTATCTTTTGTGCGCTTGCCAGGTGGATACTTCTCATTGTAGGAGGCATAGGGGAACTTTGGTATCTCCTATACAAACTGTACAAGTTAGAAAAACTACAAATAGGGGAAATTAAACGAGTGAATAACTTAAGAAACAACAAGCAAGTAATAGTACACAGGGCACTAGCTAAGGGAAAATGTACTTTCTTATTTGATCACTGGTACCAGTAAGTAATTATCCTATGCATATGCAATGGAGCGCTGCTATGCACACGATGCACAGTGGACGATTTGTGCTCGACATAGCATATCAATGCGTCCATGCTTATAATGAAACCATGAAAGTGGAGCAGAAGGCTGGATTAGCATCGTGGAGCTGTATCGTCCGCACAGCAGTTGTGTATGCAATTTGCGCTGCTATTCAACTAGTACAAACTTAAGCCTTGAAGAACATTCCGCATAAGTTATGTATGGAACTAAAAACTTAGGCCTTGAAGAACATACCGCATAAGTTAGCTGCTGTGGGCCAGCTTTTGCAAGGCTATCATCTTCGGCCTGCTGGTAGACCGCATTCAGATATAACTGAGAGGATGTAGACATCCGGCAAGTGGGGATCGGATCCATAATTCAGCAAGAGACGCTTCCAATGAGACGACCTGCGAGATGAACCCTAAGTTAGATCCAGCTTCGTTTTGTGAGGATGGAAGACCTAGAAGAATTCCAAGGAGAATGCAAAAAAGATGTGAGTTCATCTCACTCACCAGACTTTTGAGGCGACCGTATTCGAGTCAGCCGTCGGGGAAGCAGTAGAGCAGCTGGTGTTGGAGGCGGCCGCCGAGCAAGCAGCAGATCTTGGAGGCAGCTGTCGGTGAAGCAGCAGATCTTGGAGGCGGCCGCCGAGCAAGCAGCAGAGCACCAGATATTCGAGGCTGCCGTCGGTGAAGAAGCAGAGGTCGAGCGGCCGCCGCCGCCGAAGAAGGAGGCTGCTGTAGTGGAGGAGGGTAGGGTTGAAGAGACTGGGTGGCTAGGTTTCTGGGTTTATATATATAGAACCCCGCCCCGCTTCACTCCTCTTGTGGAGACTGGAGGCGAGCTCGGTGCACCGGCCCGGGCTCGCTGCCGGCCCATCACAGGTCCGCCACGGACGGACGGAACGAACGTGTGAGGAGGCTGCGGCGCACAGAAGCGGTGGAACACGTAGCAGCGAGCCTTCATCTTGAGCCTGTGCGTTCTCAACGTCCACCAGCGGTACTGGTTCTGGTTGCGCACAGACACGGCGGTGGTTCCTTCCTTTCTTCAGCCCGTGGTGCACATGCTGTGCGACGCAGCCAAGGGACGGTGGTGTGGCCGTCACGTTGGGTCGCTCCGGTTCCTGTGTGCACCAGCAGTCACCGGCGCGTCGCGTGGTGTGCCGGTTCCTGTGTGCACCAGCAGCCGGCGCGTCGATGCCCCAGCGGTGGCGACGGAGCCATCGGTTGTGCACCCGCAGCCGAAGCGCCGGAGGGGTGCGATGCACCGAACCGAACCGAAGCGAACCGAACCGGTGGTGATGTCGGCGGCCGGCCGCTGCTTTTTCGCCTCTGCTGCTCCGGTGGTTGGAGGGACGGGGCAGCAGGAACAGATGGACTTGTGGCTTCACCAGCGGTGCGCCGCACCCAACCAGCGGTGCGCCGCACCCAACCAGTGGTGCCGTCGCCGGAGCGTCGATGCACCGGGGAGCCGGTGGTGCCGTCGCCGGCCGGCCGCCGGCCGTTCATCTCTGCTCTGCTCTGCTTTGGTTGTTGGAGGGGACGGGAATTGGGGAAAAGAGATGTGACTCACTGTGTGGTTGAGGTGTTGCGTTATATAGGCGGTTGGGTTGGGTTGGGTTGCCTCCCTCCCTCGTGTGTATCGATCGATCGTCCCGTAATGCCGCCGAGCAATTAACGCCAGTGGAGGGTCCCACGGCAATAATGATCCACGTACCGAGGCATAGAAACGAACGGCCCTCCTCGATCGTAATAATTAACTGCCAATCCTGAC